TATGTGGCTCACTGGGGGACACGTTACGAGTCACAGTAAGGCTACACACTAGTTACTCCATCGGGGATTCTGAAATCCTCCCAGAAGCTTACACACTGTTTTGCAGATGAGCTTTCAGTACAGGAGGCCCCATTAGACAGAGGTGATAGAAGGGAGAGAGGACATGCAGGGATCCAAGTAGCAGCCAGGAACCTTTGGCTTGCATTTCAGTGAAGCATCATCTGGCTGACTGGAAATATTCATCTGTTACTGCAGAAATTCTTAAAGAGATTTTTTTTCATGACCACCTAAATCCTGAAGTGAGAGATTTGCATTGGATGACAGTAAGATTCTACCTTCAGAGTAGATGCCAAGCTGCTTTTAATGAAAACAACAAAACAAAACACCAAAAACTCAACTGAGAGCTTCTGGCGGGGAAGGGGGCATAGTGAAGAACTCAGTTTCTTTAAGGGACTGGCTACTGGGAGTTTGAGCATGCTCCAGCGAGTATTCGGGCAACACAAATTGGACTTGTGTGTTTATTTGTATTCATTATTTTTCAGGAGGCAGGGGGTCACAGGAGGCAGGCAGACCTGGGAGGAATGGGAAGTGAGTGTGATCAGGGTGCATGATGTGAAATACCCAAATAATCAATAAAAATATGTTGGGAAAAGACTTCGTGCTTATGTGCATGAGCGTGTAAGATCTAGTGTGTGACCACAAGTTAACACACGCCCCAGTGCACACACTGAGGCCATTGAACAACCCCAGTGGTCTGTCCTTGCTTTCTGCCTTCCTAAACACAGACTTTCTTTTGCATTTTGCTGCTGGTAAGCAGGTTTCTAGGGATTCTTCTGTCTCCACATGCTGAAGTCACAGGCACGGGCTACCAAGTGCAAATTTTACCTGGATTCTGATAAACCCAGGTCCCAATGCTTGTGTGGCAGGTGCTTTCCTTCATGAATCAACTCCCCAGTCCAACTCCCGAAACAACCCCATAATTTTGTTCATGAAAAAATGCAGGGGAAAATCTGGCTTTCAGAAAATTGTTGTTCATCAGCTAGAAACATTTCTTTCATTTAGGAGATGATTACTAAGATGTAGATTAAAACCAGAGTAAAAAAAAAGAAACAAAAGACTACAGAGGTTTGTTCTCTATACTAAGGGTTTCATTACATTTAGGTAGACCAGAAGTTCTCAATCTGTGGGTCATGACTCCTTTGGCAATCCACTGTCTCCAAAAAAATTGTATCACAAATCACAACAGTAGCAAAATTATAGGTATGAAGTAACCATGAAATAATGTTATGGTTGGGGGCAACTATATTAAAGGGTCTCAGCAATAGGAAGGTTGAGAACCACTGCTCTAGGCACACACATAGGAACAAAGATGTCTCCATAAGCATCTAGTGGCATTAATTTAGATGTGTTTCAGTTATGTTGTGTTCTAGAAATTCACAGATAATACATAGACTTAGCAGAGAAACTGCATAAGACATCTTCCTGAGTCTTTCTCTGAATGCCACACACAGTCTTATCTATTGTTTCAAAATTTAGTTTAGCACTATTGCTTTTCTTTCAATGTACAAAGAGAAAATATGCTCATGTATATATCCAACCACAACATGGCATCAGGAGAGGGTTACTGAACTAGGGATGGGCTTGTTAATCCTACGACTTGTTGATTCTCTGTGAGCCTGTGCTTTGGCCACTCAGCTACCTTTAAGGCTGAAGTCCCATGTTTTCAATTGCCTTAAGTGGCTCTACATTGTTCTTTGAATTCAGCAGGCTCATTATTTCCTTAGGAAAATGAACCTGCTCTCAAGATAGGTGGATACAGAGCATGACGCCTGAGATAGCATGTTTCACTGTCTGTATATTTTATACAATAATATTCATGAATGTATCAAAGAAGGCATAGCTGTATTAGGTAGCTTCAAGAGGTGTGATGAAGTTTAACATGTGTTCATATACAAAAATGCAACTAGGCTATTGGAAGTGGCTACCCACATCCATGTTTGAGGATTCCACTATAGGCATTTGCCTTTTAGTCTACAGAACCTGTATACAGAACCACAGTAAAAATATCACCCATTAAAGACGTATGACCAATACCACTGATTTCTAAGAAATAACTGCCACTTCCTCACACAACCAGAGCGCAATGACAGTCCACCTTGAGGGGCCCATCTAGCCACAAATGTAAAGCATTAGTCAAAGCACGTGTGTGTGAATGGGCAATAAAGAGTCTCCTCATCCAACATAGTGAAAAAATGGAGATGCGCAATAAGGGTGCATGGGGGGGTGCCTCAAACTTCCATTAGTAAGTCTCTAAGGACAAGAAATTGTCTCAGATTCCAAACATTCTATCACGGTGGACACACAGTCACAGGACAAAGACATCTTTGAAAACTTTTCTGTGCAGTAGATGGCAGTTATTGCGGAGACAAGTGGTCACAATATGTAGAATTAGCATCTGTGAAGTACTTAACCACAGTGGGCCTCTAGATCATGATCCCCAAACCCAGGAAGCGCCATGGGATAGGGGGTAGAAAGACGGGAAGATGGAGAGGAATGCTGTGAAATCGTGTCTGTTGTACACTCCACAGCCACTGCACGCATGAACTCACAACAGCTGTGACGACATGCACACAACCGATCCAGGCAACACCTCAGCAGGGACAAGGGAGGGGAGCTGAGGAGCTATTGGAAGCTGATGGATACTCTGGGAGGGAGTCGTTATTTTCGGGTAGTGACTCTTGGTAGGCTGACCATGCTGCGCTGGATGATCCCAAACTTGTGTACATGCAGGCAATATAAATCTGACCCAATGGATCATTAAAAAACAAAAGACATGAAATTGGATGGGAGCATGGAGGGAGGAGTTAAAAGGAGACTAGCGTGGATAAAATGAACATATGTATGCATGCAATTCTCAAGAATAAAAAATATTAAGCACATCTGTGAATATGAGCTCATGGTATTGAGCTTTGTGAACAAATAGATTTAGTTTCCAGCTTAAGCAGTGATACAAAATATCCTTATCACTATACATTTTGAAAAAAGTCAGTTTTACATGCAAAGTATTATCAAAGAGTAAAACTATGTGAAAGTGCTAGGTTTATGTTTAAGTGTCACTAAAAACTACGGAAAGTATGTCCTAACGGCCTGATACTACAACTTGCTACCGGTCAGAGATTGACCTTGTGATGGTTCATGATTTTACAAGCTAGCCTGAGTGTGTGAAAACACTATCACTCAGGATCGTGATGAGTTGACTCACAATAAAAGCCTGAATTCTTCTACACGTGATAGAATACAGTTGGCAGAAAGGAAACATTTCCTGAAAAGAAAAATGGCCATCAAAAACTAGCTCACCTGGTAATTGCTATAACACCTTACTCTGTTTATAAGCCCATATATCAACATCTGTGGCAATCGAACAAACAGGAAGATCAGACAGACACAATTAAATGTGCATACTGGATGCCCTTGCCTGTAGATCCTAGGTGACATCTGAGGAAACAGTGTCCAAGTTATTAGCATTTCTATCACAAAAAGAAAAAGCTGTTTAATAAGGTCTTAATGCTTTTTTTTCACTGTAGGCTCTGGGGTCTTGTATTCTAAAGGAGGCTGATTCTGGAATGAGCGATCAGCCTGGTAAAATGTTAATGCATCCACAGAGACTCTAAAGCGTCATTATTCAACGTGGTGATGTGAAAGTAGGCAACTGAGCTTTAAAAATGCATGTTTTGCTTTCAAGGAAGAGCAAGGCAACAATAGCAACCTGGCTGTCGGCCTCCCCAGCTGAGGCCCCCGCACCCAGGGTGATTCACAGACCTCTAAGACTGGTCTGTTTGTATCACAAAGCTGTCATTCCCAAGCAGAAAAGTGATTATTACCTGGATTGGTTTGTATCAAGTAAATGTTAACCTGAAATTAAGTAAAAATCTGAAATGATCCACAACTTTATGATAAAATTAACATAAAAATTTCTTTATACATGTTGCAGATTCTTAACTAGGCCTGCTATATTAATACATTTCAGTTGCAAGTTGAAGAAAATTTCACATTGAAAAGTTCCTGAGTGTTTGGTGTTCCTTGACCTTACCTGATGCATAAGTTAAGATGCTTCAGTTCTACAAGGCAAGCAACCCGATTCTTTTAAGAAGTTCAGAGATGTGAATATAGCATGCTTTCCTTAGGAAGGGCCCAAAAAGACTGAAGAAGAAGTACTTTTCTGAGCCGAAGCTTTCTAGGGGGTGTACATGTAGCTAAATTTTATCTGTTTTAAAGAAGAAGTTTTACCCTTAGCAAATATCACAAACTGCTTTTAAGACACTGAACTCTTGCAAAGAGAGTTACCAAAGCAGATTCTGAGTACAAAGCTTTAAAGTCAGTCTTACAGAGCCCCGGCTTAACCTCCAAGGACATTGATGACTTAAGCTGGGACCATTAGCTCTCTTTTAGCCCATATGGGAAATGTCAGTCACTGTTAAGCCTGGATATTGCAGTGAGGTGACTTTTGTGAGGTTTTGGGGATCAGACCCAGGACCCCAGGAGCCAAGGCACTCCTCCTTTCAACTGCACTCTATCCCCAATTCCCAAGACAGAGCTTTCAAACTCATCAAATCGGTCCCTAATCCAGACTTGTGGATAACGTACGCTGAACCAATCAGAAAAGCTGCCTAGAATCCAATAGGGTGATGATTTATTTCTACATTGTGATATATGGAAGGTCCTGGAAGGGCACATTTTCATTCCTACTGAAATGAAATGAATACAGGAAACATAAATGGCTACCTTTTTCTGATTCCTCTGTATGTCTGAAGACATGCTGTGTTCCCCCATCCCTCAGTAGCATATTACCATTTCTACTACTCTGCACAGATCCACACCCTACAGCCTCAATGACACCAGAGGCATTCCTGGCCGGACACATGCCATACTTCCCTTGACATTTTCTCTGACTCAGGCTCAGAAAATGCGCGTCTAGGACAAGATGAGAAAGGGGTCTTTACCCTGATGAAGAGGATCTTCTCTCCCACCCGGTATCGACCTTGAGAAAGCCGCTCCACACAGAACTTAGTGGGGCACTTGCAGGGAGGATCTTCAGAGATTCTTTTTACCTGAAATAGAGTAGCACATTCATTGTCCACAGCAAAATCACATGTGATGACTCTCCTAGAGTTCAAACATGGCAGAACTGTTGATCACTTAAGACTTGCTCTATATCAGACACTATGTGAGCACAGAGACTGTGGTGGTTTGAAGAGGAATGGACCCCACAGACTCAGCATTTGAATGCTTGGTGAATAGGGAAAGGTACAATTAGGAGGTGTGGTCTTGTTGGAGTAGGTGTGGCCTTATTGGAGGAAGGGTGTCACTGTGGGGGTGGGCTCTGAGGTCTCATGCTTAAGCCAGGCCTAGTACGGTAGTCTTTCTGCTGCCTGCGGACCAAGATGTAGAAGTCCCAGCTCCTTCTCTAACACCATGTTTGCCTTCGTACCACCATGTCCGGCCATGATGCTAATGGACTAAACCTCTGAAACTGTAAGTCAACCCCAATTAAATGTTTTCCTTTATTAAACATTGCTGTGATCATGGTGTCTCTTCACAGCAATAAGACCCTAACTGAGACAGAGACCCTGGCTGAAGTGTGAAAACCAGAGTCGGGAAGCATCTTCTGAGGTTCTGAGCTTACTGCTGCTGCTGACACTGACGATGATGAAGGATATCAGATGAGATCAGTTGGCATGGCAGCAGCCATGAGCTGTGTGTGGGGTCCAAGCATAGGCTAACCATACTGAAGGCTAGGTAGGGCAAATGCATGTAACGCAGAATGTTCCTTCCATACAATGCAACTACACTAATCTATTTAAGTTTGAAGTAAATGAAGAACTTATTATTTTTCTCAGGAAACCCTTCTTTGGTTTTGCTTGAAACTCTAAGATTTTCTCCTGAAATTTCACCATTGGATCACTCAGATTCATCTGCATCTCATCCCATCTTAAGATTCGGATGCTGCCTTAGCTGACATTTAAAATGAGTAATTAAAACATGAATATGATTAATATTCTTTTGGAGTTCTCATGGACAGGCATTGATACTGTAAATATTAAGAATATTTCCAGAAAATTAATTTCCATAATCCATGAAACTCCTAGAATGTTTTTAAATGAGGAAGTTTTTTTCAGACAATTCAGAGTAACCCAAATATCTCATATGTTCAATGTCAAATATTTTATCCATAATGGCCTTGAACTATAATCAGCTGTTAGTAGTTACCATGTTGTAAATAATAAGATTAATCTAACAGATATGAAGGTTTGGATACTTACAGTTGGCCATCAAGAAACCCAACCATTGTTTATTATTTACTTACTCATTTACTCTGTGTTTGTTTATATGCATGTCAATGTATGGTATATACACAAATATGTGCATGGTGTGTTTGTGTGTGGGGGAGGAGGAGGAGGACACTAGGTGATCTCTTCTATCTCTCTCTCTCTCTGCCTTATTCTCTTGAGACCGAGTTTCTCACTGAACCTAGAGCTAGGGACCAGCAAGCACAAGAGATTTTCTTGTCTCCACCCCCATAGCACTGAGGTTACAGGACAGGTGTGATGGTCTTGTTTTTATGAGGACTTCATACTTGATCTGTAACCACTCTCAACTGTAGGCCACCACTCAAGATTTCCAACATCATTTTTAATGACATAATAAATGGAATTTAAAAAAACATAGGGAAGTAACTTATGAATTCCCTTAATTTTTGTTATAAAAGAATTACATACTGGATTTGTTAGCTTGTGGAAAGGGCAAGAAGTGTAAAAGCAATAGATACCAGAGTGAAAACCAGGAATGCTGGAGAAATGCAAGGAAAACATCTTTTTCTTAAGACCAACCAAACTGTGCCTCAATGATGCAAACAAAATAAAACTATTTTATTTTGAAAGTGAAAGAGTGAACTCACTACACATATGCCCATCAGTCTCTTCTCTCATCCTAAAATTTTCCAACAATACAAGCCTAAGTTTCTTGGTCAATACTGTAATGGAAGCCTAGCGAATCAATATTGAACAACCTTAGCAGCCCCTTCATGGGTTTAGTTCTTTAATGGCTGAGATAATGTTTTATCTCTTCTTAAACCCTAGATATAAAACATAACACTCTAATGGAAGAGAAGAGTTTAACAGATGGACACTGGATATATACATAATCATAATAACAATGGAATGGATCCTCACAGGACACACAGGGAAATCACTGGGGTAGAGGAGGCCTGGATCCAGAGAGAGATCACTGGGGCACAGGAGACTTGGATCTAGACAGCCTTAAAGACAACTTTCACTGAAGAATGATGGGGCATCTGTTCTCCAGTTAGTGATCAGGCCATGGATTTCAAATCTGAGATTTTGTCATCTTGTTATGGTAATGCTAAATCAAATGGCAGAAATGATGCAAAATAGTAAAGCAATCCCTTACAAAACAGACTCGAATTCTGGTCTAGCCATGAGGCCAGGGGTCTGGAATGCACCTGTGGGCTGCTTTGAGTGTTTTCCTGCACATGTCTCTTCCCACAGATGTTTGTAAAATGTCACATATGCATAAGGAAGAAAACACTGAGGGTGACATGAAGGAGCTAGGAGACAGTGATGAGATCTTTGTTACCTAGGAGACCATAGAGCAACAAAATTCATTGTCCAAGGCACCACAACTTACTGAGCAAATTCTCTACCAACTAAGGTAAATCCTGAGTCTGTGTGGGCAATACCTCCATCTTGCAGGATCCTCAGAAAAAAACACAGATCTTATTAGTGACAAATTAGCACAAGAAACATTTCCTCTTATATTTTTGGTTGTGATCCTAACCTTTAATGGCAGAGCCATCTCTCCAGCCCAAGAAACATTTTCTCAAGTGGCCTACCCTTTCTTCATGCCTTCCTCATTACCAAAATAGACCTGTTTATTTGTTTGTAAATCCAAGGCTTTTTTTTTTTTTTTTTTTTTTACATTTGTGTCAGGGCAGATGCAAAAACAGAGGAGAAAAGGCCAGACTGGGCCCAGTAGAAACAAGTTGTGAAGTTAACATTGCATGATGACAGCCCGGCTTCTTACATTACCAGGAGGTAAGTAACTCTGCCTGCCAGGTGCTATGCTTTTGGCTCAGAACCTAGCCAGTTTGTGACTGAAATGAGATTTCAAGAGGGGCCTGGTTACTCGGAATTCCATTATCTTTCATCCCCAGGCTGAGGAAGTTGACAAAGAGAAGGGAGACAGTAAGAGTCATTTCTCAGAAATGCATTCAACTCCCCGTGAGAGTAAGCTCAACACAAGGGAAGGCAAAGAGGCACACTCGGGCCAACACATCGCCTATCGTGGCTGCATCACGGCATCAGGACGTAGGGAATAAAGCAATCCGAATGGACACCGCCTTGTTTCCTCTGTGAGATCCTGACTAAGGGAGCGGGGCTGTATCGTCCACATGAAAGGTCGTCTATTTCCCTGCAGTTCCCCTAAGAATCAGACAAGAAAATGTGGACAAACAAAGGTGGCTTCAGTCCTGGCTCTTTCTGAAGTCCTCCGCTGGAATCTGATCGCCTTGGCACAGCTTCCCTTTCTTTCTCAGCCTTCTCTGTTTCTGTTTCCTTTGCTTCCTTCCTTTACTCTTCCATATCCTCATCTTTCTTTCCTTTTGGGGGTAGCAAACGATAGCTTTGTACAAAACAATTCAGTGCTGGCTACACACGGGAGCTTAGAGAATCATCTTTTTTTTTTTAAATTCCCTTTCTTGGTACATTTATTGAGTTACATTAAGTTCAGTTCCAAATGGCTACATGTGCCCAGTGTCTGGTAAAGTGGTTGTAATGGTAACTATTTCCTTTTTTACCTTAGATAGAAGGGGCTAATTTAAACCATTGATGAGATTCAAATTACTTTTCCTTCTGTTCCACTCTCTCTGAGATAAAATACTTCAGTGAAAAGCCATCACTTCAACATAATACAAAAAATTCAATGTAATTTTCAAGACTGAAAAATGGAAGAAACTTAAAAAACAGGTTTATGTTCTAGTATACTGGAAAAATTCCAGGTAAACTAGATCTTTTAAGGGAGCTCAGCAGAGCCAGTAAATTGTTGGCAGGCTCTCTGAACGCCAGGCAGAGACAGCAATACTCTGCCTTTCTTATACTAACCTTATCCTTCCCCACAGGGCACTGGAGTGGTAGTATTTCTGTAAGCATTCCTGGAGAAATGTTAGTCTTAAGAGTCACGGGACACAAGAGTCCTCACTGGTAAGAGGCAGATGGTACTTATCACACTAAATGGGTGCACCAATGTACGTCCCTCCATTAAACCGATAGTTATATTCTCAAGGTTCATCTGAAGTGCCCGCATAGCTTTCAGCTGGGGAGGAACAGACCTCAAAGCCACAGCTGGAGGATCCCGCTGGTTAGGTAGGTCTCTATACCACTGGTCTTTTGTTCTGAGTTAGAAGACCGATGAAACCATCTCTAGTCCCTCTCGGAGGAGTTATTCTACACCTTGGGGGGGGGGCTCACCGCATTGCCCCCTTTCCCAAAGATGAGGAATGGCTAGCCATGACACAAGGTGGTGAGGAATGGGGGGGCACTCTTGCTCCTTCCCCATGGCTCTGATACAGAATCTCAAATGGCAGCACTTATTCCATCTACAACGCAGGAGCGCAAATGGCACGGGTCTCTGGAGACATGATCAAATACAGAGAGGAGACTTCACACCGAGCATCTGCAACAGGGAGCTGGGGAGCAGGCAAGTGGCACAGGTTTCAGAAAGCAAGATCGAACACTGAGGACAGAAAGGAGATTTCTAGATACTGAGCGCCTACACCGGGGAGCTGGGTGAGCATCTACACCAGGGAGCCGGGTGAGCGCCTATACCGGGGATCCAGGTGAGCGTCTACACCGGGGAGCCGGGTGAGTCTCTACACCAGGGATCCAGGTGAGCGCCTGTACCAGGGATCCGAATGAGCGCCTATACCAGGGATCCGGGTGAGCGTCTGCACCAGGGAGCCGGGGAGATGAAGACTAATAAAGGAAGCACCACACCTGACTGTGAAAGTTTTAGACCTCATGAACAACTGCCTCAGTGCACACTTACAAATACTTCAGACGACAGTAAGTAAGCTGCAACACTGGTGAGAAATGCCAAGAAGAACCTTCATGTGTGGGGTGAGGAATGGCTCTGTGGGTGAAATACTTGCCATGCAGATATGAAAACCTGAATTTGGATCCTTAACAGCCATGACAAAAAAAAAAGTCAGCACATATCTGTAACTGGATGGTAATGGAGACCGGAAGATTCTTATAGCTATCTAGCCAGCTAGCTGCCTAAAACAGTGAGCTCCAGAGTTAGTAAGAGGCCCTGTATAATAATTTTTATAAAAGGTGAAGAGCTAAAAAGAATTCCCGTGTATGCCTCTAACCTCTGCATACATGAACACACATGTGAACATAGAAGCATCCCCAAAGGCACACATACGCACAATCTTTTATGGAAGGTAGCAAAAACTAAAGATTAAAATATGCATTTAAAAGAAAAGTACCAAGAAATAAGTTGAAGAACTAACAATTTCTACCTCAACCTGAAAGAGGTGCTTCAAAGGACAAAAGAGTTGGAAACCACACTGGGCTGTAACAAGGGGACTGACACGTAAGGTGTCAGTTGGGCGGGGCTTCTGGAGGATCCTACAATAATACTAACAGTCAAATTTGCGTTCTGTCACAGCATGCTGGTTGCAGGGATGCTGGCACAGAGGAATTTCAAGAATCTAGTGGTGAAAGAAATCTGCAGTAGTAATAGGCATGGACCCCATAATGCGAGTTGAGAGGTCCCCTTGGCTGAGTAATTAGCAAGGAAAGGCAACACCAGCCAGACAATTTTCAGGCCTGGCACCATAGTATAGGGAGGAAAGAATGTAAGTAGATGTCAGGGCTGAGAGGGGAAGGAATAAGAATGGGTATGGCAGCCCAAGACACACTTGTAAGAAGACAGAATCCATGCTGAGTCTAAAGAAAAAGCATAATACACTATGGAAAAATGACTCTGAACATAAACAGCATGCCTTTACTATTATACAATGTCATCTAATTACTGCACAAACTTTGAAAATGAAGCTTTATGAGAAGCAAGGCATATGACAGATTCTAAAATTATTCCAAAACACCTTCCTGCGGTATGACCATTTGTACATTCTGAGTGGAGTGAGTGGCTATCAAAAAAGGAAATCAGATTAAAATTACTGTATGAAACACCCTGGTGGGCCAAGCTTAAGTCTGCTGCCTTAGTGGGGACTCAACAGCTGCTCGGGCAGTTGTTAAGTTTCTGCTTTTTATAGAGTTGTCATGTGGAGGAAAGCAAAAGATGGTGAATGTTTTTTCCCTGCATCTGACAGCACCCATCAGCCAACCTCCCCCTCTCTCTCAGCTCAAACTCTCTAGAGGGAGGCCTGCAGTTCTCTGGTAGCCTGCATCCTATCAGCACCAACATCAAGATTTCTGACCAGTCTTCCAAGGAGTTTGCTCTCTCTGGCAAGACATACTTCAGTCTTAGGCCTCTGGCACCCTTGTGTCCTGTAAGTTTGCCAGCAATTATAACATGTAAATGCAAACTTAACGTAAGCAACAACAAGACAACTCATAGTTCTTTTTGTTTATTAATGCCATCCTGCATTTAAGATACGAGCACGATAGCACACGGGAATAATTGTCCGACACACCATTGCCATGAACAAGGATTGTTTAATATACTTAGAAACTGCTTATCCTTATAAGGAGGATGTCACTGAAGTATGACTGAAGAGTAGATAAACCCAGAGTTACACAAACACCCAATGGAACCTAAGCTCCTCTCCTCTTAGCATCACAAAACTTCCAATTTCCACTCCCTTTCCATGTAACCTTCCTTTCAGATATAAGAGCTCTCAAGAAGAAAGGGTCAACTCTGGCCAATACCAGGCAATCAATGAAGTACAGTCGTCTTTCTGTAAGATGCTGTGTCCCCTTGCTCAACAATCCTCAAGATTCTGTGCTTCAAGTTTACATCGCTGAAAGGGGGAATCAGGAATGAATAACATCAAGGTTTAAGTGTCTTCAGAAACTCATTTCTTAGGGTTTCAGATATTGTTCAATGGAATTAAGTGGCACTTTATTTTAAATCACCAGTTCGGCTTGAGTTTCAGGATGAGCTGTAGGAGCACAGACTTTCTCATTGGAGTTAAAATGAATTCAAAGAAGCTGAAATGCAGTAAGGTCAGACTGATCTGAGAAGGCAAGGAAGGATTGTAGTTGGGGGAAAAACAAAACAAAGCCAAATCACTGTTAAGACTTATAAACTGCACTCACTGCATCGTCCAGTAAGTTCCCAGTACTCTTCTTTCCTGAAGACTTGGATGAAGGAGAAGGAGAAGGAGACGGGGCAGAAAGCGTCTCTTCTTGTTCAATTTCTTTTTCCAGCTTTATCAGACCAGGAGGCTCCACACCATACCTTTGAAAAACATGAAACTGCTATCATGAACACATTACAACAATGTAATAGCCATGCAATATTCTGGACTGTGAGACCACTAACTACTGCCCTTTTACAATGGCATGGACTCTCTGACACTGAAATGGAACTAGTATTTGTGAATTAGCATCCTTGGAACTGGAGAAAAACATATGTATATGTGTTTGCATGCACATGCATGGAGGTACATGATGTAAACATACTCAGTTTAGCATATTACTATCTCAGCAATGTGAACATCCACAGGGAATTTATCTTGAACTTTTTCTTTAACAGAATTGACAATATCAGTACTATAATTAAAGCCTCATTTAAAATATAGGTTTGCTAACGATAGAGATTAAAACAGAGGTTGATATCAAAATTAAAACATCAGAACCCCAACTAGAAAAATAAGTAACTAATTCTACAAAGAAGTATGAACTGTTCATTCCTTATACACTGAGAGCAATGCACGTGTTTGCAGGATGTTACAAGCAGAATAGCACAATGAAAGCACAATCATTAATACTGGGACAGAAAACAAGAATAACTCAGAACAACAATGTATAAAAGGTCTGTAAACTGTACATGTTCAGGAGACTTGCAGAAGATGTGGGAGGGAGGGAAGGGCAAGAGAGACCCTGATAGTGTAAGTAATCATTGTATCTCCACAATCAGGTTTTTCTTAATTAAAACGTAAAGATATACTGGGTTTTATAGGTTCATATCAATTGGGCTTAGTAGGGGACACCAAAGATAGTTCTAGAACGTGACAATTGGGAGGCATTTAGAAAAAATCTAGGCATACATTAACAGAAAGATGAATATCTGCAGAAGACTGAAACAGGACAGAACCTCAAATAAGGGATGCCACTGTCAGTTTGTCTACACTTTTTGATCAGGTGATTACACAATGGAAAAAAGACAGCCTCTTCAACAAATGGTGCTGGCATAACTGGAGGTTGACATGTAGAAGAATGCAGATAGATCCATGCATATTGCCATGAACAAAACTTAAGTCCAAATGGATCAAAGACCTCAACATAAATCCAGCCACACTGAAACTCTTAGAAGAGAAAGTGGGAGGTACTCTTGAATGAATTGGTACAGGAGATAGCTTCCTGGACATACGTCCAGTAGCACAGACACTGAGATAAACAATTAATAAATGGGACCTCCTGAAACTGAATGCTTCTGTAAGGCAAAGGACACAGTCAGCAAGACAAAAAGGCAGCCCACAGAATGGGAAAAGATATTCACTAACCCCACATCTGACAGAGGGATTATCTAAAATTTACAAAGAACTCAAGAAGCAAGTCTTCAAAACACCAAAGGATCCAATCGAAAAATGGGGTACAGAACTAAATAGAGAATTCTCAGTAGAGGAGTCTAAAATGGCTGAGAGACACTTAAGAAAGTGCTCAACATCCCTAGCCATCCGGGGAATGCAAATCAAAACAACTCTGAGACACCATCTTACTCCTGTCAGAATGACTAAACTCAAAAACACCAACAACAGTTAATGCTGGAGAGGATGTGGGGAGAGGGGAACACTCCTCCACTGCTGGTAGGAGTGCCAACTGGTTCAGCCACTTTAGAAATCAGTATGGAGATTCCTCAGGAAAATGGGAATAAACCTACCACAAGACCCAGCAACTCCACTCTTAGGCATATATCCAAAAGATGCACATTCATACAACAAGGAGGTCTGTTCCACTATGTTCATAGCAGCATTATTTGTAATAGCCAGAACTTGGAAGCAACCTAGATCGCCCTCAACTGAAGAGTGGATAGAGAAAATGTGGTACATTTACACAATGGAGTACTATTCAACGTAAAAAAACAATAGAATCTTGAAATTTTCAGGCAAATGGATGGCACCAGAAGAAACCATCCTGAGTGAAGTAACCCAATCATAAAAAGAGAAACATGGCATGTACTCACTCATTTGTGCATTTTAGACATGAATCAGGGGAATGCCAGCCTACAATTCCATTGCCAGAGAGTCTGGGAAGCAGAACATTCATCCAGTGACTGATGGAAGCAGAGGCAGACACCCACAGATAAGCACTGAACTGAATTCCTGGAATCCAGTGTCAGAAAGAGAGAACTGATGGGCAAAGGAGTTAAGACTGGGCTGGTTTAACCCACAGAAACAGTTGACCTGAACAAGGCAGAGCTCTTTGACTCCAGATTGATGACTGTGTGGAAAGCATGGGACTGACCCAAACCTCGTGAATGTGGGTGTCAGTGAGGAGGCCTAGGTAATCTATGCGGCCTTGGGTAGTATTTATCCCTGGAGTAAAAATAGATTTTGAGTGTCCATGCCACATTATGGGAGACTCTCTCAGCCTGGAATCTTGTGGGAGGGCCTAGACCCTACCCTGGATGACATGGCAGTCACTGGAGATCCACCATGGAGGGCCACACCCTTCCTGGGGATCAGAGTGGACGCTGGGTGGGGGATTTAGGGACCTGGTAGGGAGGGATGGGGAGGAAGGGAGGGAGAGGGAGCTGGGATTGGCATGTGAAACAAACTTGTTTCTAACTTCAATTTAAAAAAAAGAGAAAAAAAGGAGAGAAAACTTCACTTGGTGATTAAAAGACTGTTCTGAACCAAGTGTGTCAGTGCACACCTGTGATTCCAGCATTTGGGAGAAAGACACAAGACGATGTCAAGTTTGTGACCAGTCTAGACTAGTTGGAAGGCCCTGTTCCCAGATAAAACAAGATAAACAAAATAGTAGGTTATAAATAAGATAGAATGCAAATGGTCTATGAGCAGAGAATACATGCTGGCACTGTGCTCACTGCTTTTGGTTGAGCACTGTGTCACGTCAGTAGCCAACGGAAAACCTTGGGTGCATCCTCCTGATGTGGTTTGCTACTTTAACAGATATCATTGCACACAAATACAGTGCAAATTTCTAGGGAGGGAGTTTTCCTCATGGTGATGTTTTGTCCCCACAGAGGGGACCCAGTTGGTTCAGTTGCTGGCCTCTTAGCTCATTACCTGAGATAAAAGGCCATGGTTATGTTGATCAGGTTTGACTTGGTTTACAACTCCAGGAAGGACCCAAGCCCCAAACTGCTTGATCCTTGCTAATGGCCTGATTCTAGAGTTCAGTCATAGACACCGAGCAGGCCTGATAATTTGGGCCTTTTCAGTCATAAAGGAAACACTTGATAATTTCTCTGCCTTTTTTTCCTTCAGAATTTGAATAGTGAAAAAGGCTCTTCGTATCCAATGTCTTTTGAGAGCTGCAAAGCTTATGTAATAATTAAGTACAAACAGTTTCCAATGTCACAAAACCCTCTAATCTATTATTTTTGTTCCATAATGAAAAAACTTACTACAAAGATCTAGTTGCCACATTTTGTATTTCTAACCTTTTGTACTTATAAACCAATCAGTGTGTTGTTACAAGACACTGGATGCACTCCAGAAATCATGGCAGAGAACAGCATGGCTGATTCTCAACAAACCCTGCTCTTCTACCAACAGACCAGAGGGACTTTGGAATGCCACCCTCTTAAGTACTGTAGACATCTGTGGATTCTTAGCTCCATCAGGGTGTAAAACTTACCTGTGTTGACTGTTCTCAAGAGAATAATACAAACCTGGTTGTGAGTATGGAGGAATCTAAGACACTGTGATCACAGCCAACTGTATGTCAATTGAAAGGGGAAACATCACATTTGAAAATAACAAATCTATTGGAAAATACTTTGTTTTTAACTGCAGGTAGATGAAGGCTGCCTCCCAAGAATAAGGTTCATACAGTCTTTAAAAAATAGCAAATATGCTATTAGAGTAGCAACAGGTTCAACTCTTGTCCAACACAAAACAAATAGGCTAGCTTTGAATAAAACTGGTAACAGACTCACACATGGAAAATGTTTCCTTGGAGATACTTCTTTACCTGGGAAAGCTGAAAACTAGCTGTGCCACTGACACAGAAAGTCAACACTGGGCCTGGAATATCTGCTTACACTGGCTTTTGCATTCTTTAAGCTGCCCAGGGTAGACTCTGTCAGTACTGGAATGCACACTTAAATATGGTCCATTGGCTTCCTGTCAGTCTGGAGGTGTCAGCAGGCTGTAAATCATGACCCACCTCCAAGGATGGAGACTTGTACCTGCAAGCCAATTTAGTCATCAAATGCATTTTTCTGCTCTTCAAAAGGCTACCTTGGTTTAGTATCATTGATAACTTCTATGTCTCTTCACATGCCTATTCTTTCTATGAGGTTTTCACAAATTAGTGTTTCTTCTTTCCAAGAACAAGGTGTTAGTACTTTGAGGACAAGGGTTTTTCCTTCTCTCAACTCCAATAGGGGTCCAACTGGAGTCACCAAGAAAGCTGAATTCACTAAAGCTAAGTCCTGATTCCTGTAGAGCCCAGAAATATAGATGTAGTATAAATATTCAGAGGTTGGACACTTACTCTCATCTCATTAAAAAGTAACAAGTAAGGGAGTCTTGGGCTGGGTGACTGTGTGGGGAGAATATAGGAATGGGTCTGTAGTTTTTGGGATTAAGCTAACTGAAATTATTATACCACCAAACTCATTTTTAACCTAGCAAATATATTCAAACTATTTAGTAGACTGCACTTTCCAACAAAAGACATCTGTGTTCCATTGTTGTTGGATTGGGGGACAAATTTTACAAACTAATGAAAGTCCCTCTTTCTAAGGCATGTAACAGATGGTTTATAGAAGGTTGCCAGATAATTTTGCACCATTTTCCCTATTTTAAGGCCATGTAAACTTAGATTTATATATGGAAAGTGCCCCAGCCATGGGAAAGGACACATAAACTCCCAGCAGTCCTTGCAGGTCCTCCAAGTGAATCAATTAGTAATCTTAACACACGATCATTTTTCTTTTAAGTAACATTTCATTAGACCATGAATGCAATAGAAGATTAAAGAAAAATTTTCTCAAGACAGTTCCTTTGGATACTTATAAACTTCTCTGGATCAAGGGATACCAAATCCCAAAGGTATGAGATAATGCGGTACGCTGCTGGCAACCAGCCTTGCCATAGAACTACCATCTCAGAAGCCTTCATTCTTATCATGAATAAAACTGTAATATGAAAAGATGTTGAAGTTGTAGTTATTTATTTTGTAGAAATTAATGCTAAAAATTGGTTAAAGGAATCTTTTGAGTTTGTTGAGTTGCTTTGATCAATGTCATATGACTTGCATTCAGAAATGTATATTTTTTCAATACTATCAGAGAAATTTTGCACATACAGACAAGCAGACACACAATACAAACATAAGTAAAAATAAGTGCATAAACTTTAAAGACATAGAGGATTATACTCCAAGATATGAAACGAAATGCATTTGATTAAATGGTGTCAATGATGGCTTAGGCGAAGATTCCCCTGGCCACATGACTACAGTATTAGGAATACTAGAGACATACTTTTAATTTTAACACAAATTGGAATCTGAAAAAATCTAATTAATTCAACATTTATTTAGCCTCAGAATCTCTTCAAATATTTTTATCTTGATTTCTCTTTCTCTGGATTTCATAAAACTATCAAAAGCTCGTCTAGTGTTTTGCAAGGTTGTAAACAGAAAAGCAGGAAACCAGAGCAATTTGGATTGGCTAACAGGGTTCTTTCGTCAACTTACTTAGCTGTGGTAACTACAATTACTTGTTTTTGTTCTCTCGTACTTGAAAAATTTTTGGGACACATATTTCTATAAGAATAAGGGGGGCTAGAGAAATGGTTCAATGTTAAGAGCATGTACTACTTTTACAGAGGACCCATGTTTGGTTCTCAGCACCCACATAGGGGGACACACAGCTGCCTATAACTTCAATTCCAGGGAATCTGACTACCACTTCTGGTCTCTGCAGTCACCTGCACAGTCACAGACCTCCACACTGATATGCATGCATATGTTTGCTTTAAAAATAAAAAATAAATTGCATAAAAATAAACCCCTGTGTCTTTCTATGCTAACAAAAGTAAATGATATAAAAATTGCCCACATTCAGTTGGCAAGTAAAATCTCTGAGGGATGAAAATTGATAAGAGAATCAAGAAAAGACACAAATAGAAGACTAAAATTATTAAACAGAAAACAAGGGATGAATCAGGAGGAAATGAGAGAAAGCAGATTTCTTATTGAGTAAACTATTCCACACAGTGTCAAGCAGGAACTTGCAGAGAGAGCTAAGTGGCTAAAAGCACTTCTTACTTTTGCAGAAGGCCCACACTGGGCAGATTACAACTGCCCGTAATTCCAGTTCCAGAGAGTCCAGTACCCTCTTCTGGACATTGCAGGCATCTACACACACATGGTTGCACATACAAACACGCAGGCACACAAAACAAACATAAGTGAAAATAAATGCATAGACTTTAAAGGCATAGAGGTTACACTCTATGTTCCATCAAGATAGGAAAGGAAGTGCACTTAATTAAATGGCATCGTTATGGAATTTCCTGACCAGTTCCGCAACCACCTTACCCCAAATGAATACACAGACACTATAGTAATTATGAAACTGTTGGCCTGTATCTAGGGCTTCTTACTGGCTCGCCCTGTAACACATACCCATTTATATTAATCTAAGTATTTCCATGTGGTCTTTTACTACTTTGCAGTCTCACATAGCATTTGCCTCTGTCCACACTTCCCAGAATTCTCCTCGTCTGGTAGCCCCACCTATCCTTCCTGACTGGCCACTAGGCAGACATTGCTTTATTCATCAACCAATAAGAGAAACATACACAGAAGGACATTCCACCATCAGGTATCAATGACAGTTTAGGCCAAGACTGTTCTGGCCACATGACTGCAGTGTTGAGAGTACTAGAGGTGTATTTTTAATTTTAACTACAGCTCTCAAGATGATCCAAGCAAGTCCTCTGCTAAATGTTTGTTTGTTTGTTTTTTTGCATCCTGTTTGAATTTCAACAGTGAGAAGCCCACATGATTTTGTTGCCTGAGGCTGAGATGTGTCTGTGCCTTGACATGATAGAGGAGGTCTTACCTACCTGGCTGCAATCCGGCCAAGCTCTAGCAAACAGAGACACACTTCTCGGGGCTGTTTGTGCAGAACTAGAAGACAAGACAGATGTATACAACTTTACAATAGAGAAGACTGTAAAGTAAGTATGGATGACAAGCTTGCCAATGACCTTCCTGTGGTCCTCACAGAGATGAGCTGCTTCTCATTCTGGCATTTATAAGTCTCATTCCAAACCCTCAACTGAAGATGCTTCCTGAAACTCTGCCTATACTGTGTCTCAAACCCCACTGGTCCAATGAACTCTCACTATAAAAACACTGTCTTTAACTAGTTAATATGTAGATGTATATTGGATGCAAATGTAGCAGTAACTATGATATAAGTTTAAAAAGTATACATACCACACACAAAAATATAGCAAGGATTAACCTTTTGAATATACTGGGTACACCCATAATTCTTACATCAAATTGAATTAATAAGGATAAAATTTATAAATGATTCTTTGTTCACCTCCAAATAAAGACAGATGTCAAATGGATCCTCTAACTTGATGTTCTCAACTAATCAATAATTGATGGTTTAGAAAAAGACACACTTCCCTGGCCAGATTCTTAGTATATATAAGTATAAACAAGGTCCCATCATCCAGCATTGCCCACCAGATGAGCCACTGGGGAGCCTTTCCTGAGCTGCTATTTCTGTACTATATGGTAGTATTACATGGTGAAGCTGCTCTGTGAATGGACTTGGGCAGATCAGCAACACAGACAACACATACTTGCATTTCTGAGCCCACAACAGGAAAACAACTTGCTTGTTCTATCCTTCTAACCAACACTGAATAAGATAAATAATGTAACAAAATTTTGCAGGGATAAAAGCCTCCACAAAGCTATTCTTCTACTAAAACAATATATATTGATAATAAAAATAACAACTTTGCTCTAATTCATAAAGTATATATTTTGGCTAGTACAAGCTTGTGGCAGTTGTAAGTCTAAGTAATAATTACGCTTATACAGGGTCATGTTTAAGACCTAAATACCTTGACATTGGTTTTCTTAAGAATAAAACAGCACAGTAGAATTCATTTTCAGTAATTGATCTGGAAGTACTGGTTCATGCTGAGTGTTTTAGGAACCAATGAACTGCAAGTCTGTCTCTAAGACAGTCTAGCAAGCTATTTGAGCTGAGGGTCCTGCCTCCATTAGCTGAACTCTCCATTTCAAACATATGTCCTCAGTTGCCTTTCAATAGAAACGTCTACTGAAGCTTGCAGTAGGAAGTATTTCCACCACTCAATCTCAGCAATAATCTGGGCCTTTCTTTGAGTTAGTGGTAGAAGCAGGATTTCTTCTTGCTTGCTTTCTATCCCCTAAAGGAATTCTCTTTATAAAAAATAAAATAAAAAAGCTCTCAGTTTGCTGGTGATAGTTCTATGAAATGGCTGCACCATCAGAGGCTTTTACAAAATGCTTAAAGCCTTAAGAAGGAAAGGAATCTAACATTAAGCTTCCCCTAAGGAAGGCAGCCCAGACTGCAACTCAGGATACATGTGAAGCAGAAGTGATGGTGAGCATCTTTAATCTGAGCACTCAGGAGGCAGAAGCCGGGACATCTCTGTAAACTGGAGACCAGCCTAGTCATCAACAGGTTAGCCAGGACTACATAAAAGTGAGAGCCTTCCCTCCAGTTTCCGCACCCTCCAAAATAAAAGGCACTGGAGACTTTAGTTTACAACCTAGATAGAATGCTACTCATCCCAGGAATATAACCTTCAAGAACCAAGTACAGGAGGCTATGTATAGTTTAACTACCTATATTAAGTGTTAACAAATGAACAAAGAAAGAAAAGCACAAAAAGTTTGATGGCCACTTGGTTTTTGTACAAGTAAAGGCTACAATTATTTAGGGCAACTTGGAAAGCAATGCTTAGTTTTTTTATTTAGTAAAAAAACTGGATCAAAATACTATTGGCATATTGTTTTCAAATTAGAAATATGTCATAAATGTACATCTAAATACCACCTTACAGTAGAGAACAAGTCCTAATAAATCAGAGGAGGAGGTAGGGAAAGAAATAAACTAAAAGGTAAAAAGGCAGGCTCTGTACACAAGGATGCTTACGGTCCAATGAATAAGCTGCTGCTGTGTCTTCTACCTCTTCTTCCTTCTAAAGGAATCCCATGGTCCAGAATCAACGCTAGTGTCATTTCCGTGATAGTGAGATAGGGTTCTGAGGTCAACAGTACAGGTATCATGTCGGAGGTTTTAGGAATGCTCCACCCTTACTGATCACCATCTATTCTTCCTTGCACTTTACAGGTGATGGGTGACATGTCTGAGAACCAGTGTATTAGTCAACATTATAATATCAACATAGCTTCTGCTGTAATTTTTCTATTTACTAAAAATATCAAGTGTGTGATAGCTTTATGAAACATGCTCTGCATATGTGAAATACAAGTCATGGTGAGTACAATGACTTGGTGGATTTTGTAGGCATGTCTCTCTTGTTGTGGTCTAAATAATCAAAGGCTAAGGGCCAGGAAAGTAGAGTGTCAGCCACAGATTGTTCCTTGTGTGTTGTTATCCTGGGTGTAATCACAGAGAAATCTAATTTAAATATGTATGAGGTAAAGAACATATCTAAAGGGCACAGCGCCTAGAACTGAAAACTAACAAGCAACAACTGTTCTGCAGCTATGAAGAAGGGTTCCCACAGGTCACTGAGGCTAGGTGTGATGGCTATCACTTGTTAACCTGATGCCTAGGAGACAGGCCTACTGCCGGCTTACCTGGGAACAGTTGTCCAGAGTAAGGTTAGTCTCCGAGAAGATGTGTGAGACGTTGCCTTGACTGAGTTGATTGATACAGGAGAACCAATCTTAACTGTGGGAAGGACCATTCTCTGTGCAGGGATCCTAGGCTTTATAAATGGGGAGGGCAAGCTGAGCATGAGCATGTATGTATCGGTTCACCGCACTCTGGTCTTTATTTTATGTACATTGGTGTTTTGCCTGCATGTGTATCTGTGTGAAGATATCAGAACTCCTGGAAATGGAGTTGCAGTGGTGAACTATCGTAGGTGCTGGGGATTAAAGCGTAGGTTCTCTGGAAGTACAGCCAGTGCTCTTAACCACTGAGCCTTCTCTCCAGCCACCCTGACTGGAGATGTACAGTAACCAGTTCTCTCATGCCCCTGCCTCTGTGACTTCTCTGCCACACGTAGTGTAACCTGGAATTCTGAGCCGAATAAACCTGTCTCCCTTAGTTTGCTTTGGTCAACCCTGAACACAGTGTTCACACATATTCTCATTGATGAGGGACGCACTGTAGGATGGAATGAACGTAGTGAAGTTGGATGAAGAAATGTGCTGGAACGCAGGTTTCCGTTCTCCAGCACATAGCACTCAGAATGGTGATCAGGGCAAGGATATCTAAGTTGGTTTTATTTACATTTATTTTCCTTTACTTAAAACAATCCTATACAACCTTATAAGTTCGTTCAAATTATTCATTTCCATAAGGGGGCATAGTATTTGGAGGTGAATAAAGCAGAATTTGAATCTTGGATCAGGCACTTAGCAGTTATAACATGGGTAACAAATGATTTCATTCTCCCTATCACAGGCTTCTGTTTGTGCAGTGACATCAACTGGCAGAGTATCGAGGGAAATACCTGTGCTGTGCTTAGCTGCCCTCGATGAGCACAGAGATACAACATCAAACCGGGGCCAATGAGGACCCCACCCAAGAAAAGCTACGATCGTCCATTTTCCTTTCATTCAACTTCCATTCTCTTAAGCTCCTGAAAATTGCTACCCAGGAAGCAACTCCACAGTCCCCATAGACTCAATATTACTGTCCTGGACATTTTCCTAGGCATTGTGTAGTCAGCTAGTTCTGAAAGGGAATGCCCGAGTTCAAACAAAAGCTAACTTAGGGATGATGGTACACATCTGTAGTCCCAGCACCTAGAGGGGGAGGGGGCAGGAGAGTTAGGTATTCAAATAATTCTCAGCTACAGAATGACTTCCCCCGGATTGGCTTGGACTATTTGAGACCATTCTCAAGCAAGAGAGAAAAAGAGCAAAATGAACAAAACATAATGAAATAAAAACATGGATTAAAATGCTAAAACAATATTTTTCAAATAATTTAATTTCTAAAAGAAATCTAAAACAAAATGATTCTGGGGGAAAAAAGTAAAATTAAAATAAATAACCTGGAGCTAAATCAGTCCCATGGAATTGTTACCCTGCACTAATACTAATAACTAGCAAACAAGAATATTGGTTTGATTTAGCCCATAGACATATTCTTACAGTTTTCAATACAGACAAACACAAGAGCAAGGATGGGGGGCGGATATCACACAAGGGATACAGGCATCAAGTGTTTTTCTGATGCAACCAGTGACCACGCAGTGCAAGCAGCGTAGGGTAGGGACTGTTAGCCTTGGACTCCTGGGGGTCCATTTCACTCTAATGAGGCCATGGGTTTGCCATGGGAACAACCCGGAAACCACAGAGATCACAGGCTTTGGACAAAACCCTGCTCGTCACAGAGGTGCATGGAAAAAAACCGAAACCACACAAGCACAGACACAGGGAACCAGAACTAAAGAGTGACAGTCACAGGAGGCACACAGCACATGCCACGCAGCAGGCAGCAAACCCGGTCCTTGGTGGGCGGATTCTTTCTCTGAGAAACAGATGCATAGGCGCTGCGCTCCAGGTCCTACAATCAGTCAACAACATGTTGATATTGACACCAGTAGCACCAGCAAAATGTGTGCTTTCAGAGTTCCCCAAGCCTCCCTTCATTGCCCGGGGAACAGAAAAGTGTGCAAACAGAGAAAACCAAACACGTCTGCAGAAACAGACGTGACATAGTCTACACCAGCTTGTTACTGTGGTTGCGGGTACCCTTATAAATAAGGGTATCACTGTTAAAGGAAATGAATTATATTGTAAAAGCCTTAGAATAATCGCTTAAGTGTATCAATTTTATCACAAAACATTTTAAACTGGGAATAAATCAAATATTTCAGATATTAATTTAAATGAGTCACATTAAAAATAATCAGTGTCATTTTAAAGGTGGTTAAAATATCTAAATTGACATTTGAAAATTCACTAATGGGAGGATTATTGACAAATACAGTCTAATAATCTTTATATAACTCTTTGAAATTAAAACAAATATTTTCATCCATTTTGTGTTATTAACTATGTTTTGCTACTCCATGATTAAAAATCCACTAAAATGACAAATGGAGAATTATTCTGATACTGAGGTGATGAACAATAAACTTTTAAATTCAAAAAAGTATCCATGACCACCTTTTTCATGTAAAGCACAATCATAAACACTGAGAAGGCATTCCATGGAGGCTGATATCAATCTCAGTGAATCAGTCAGGTCAGAGTAGGTATCTCACGGAGACCATCAGAGGTAGAGCTCCACCAAGTATGCAGAAACACGGGCTTCTGTGTCATGGCTCCACATAGTTCTCAGTCACCTGGACTCTGAATAGCCTCAGAGTGAAAGGCTTTAATGGTATATGAATGTGTGAAATGTCAGTAAATGATTCTCTTTGTAAACTGCTGTAAACTCTTCTTAAGAACCATTAAGCAAGTCCTCCATGTTTCCAACCACAAGCGGTAACTGTTTCCTCCCTGGTTTGTTAGTAAGTGAGGGTCCTATCACTTACAAGCCAATTACTCTTCATTCTTCTTCCATAATCTCCCATGACCTTCAATGCTGTAAACAGATATAGCCATGTCTAATGTTCACCTTGGGCCTTTTGTCCCCATTCCTTACATGGCCTAAAGAATATGATTTTGATTTTGATATCTACGGACCATGATAGTTTGCTGAAAATAACATCACATGCCAGGGATTAAAATGTCTCAATGCACACTAGGGTTTCCCTCTTTTCTAATATCCCTCAGAGAAGTCAGTAGAAATTTAAAAACTTGTTAAAAGTATGCTACTGTATCCAAGGACAAACTACTATCCTAACTTTCTTCAGAAATATATACTCAGAAATCCTATGTGCAGGTTTTTCTTAACTTTCATTTATTGTTTCAGAAAATAATCACTTATTAACACTGGTGAAGTATTGGAAGTGTTTTACCAGCATGCCCAGTGATTTTATATCTCAGCTAACTAGTCAGCTTATTCTTGTTTTCCAGTAGGTCCTTCATGACTGTTGTCCCAATTCTCTTTGTTCATGTTTAAAGCAATATTGGAATACAGTTATCTTATCATCTAAAACTGACATTTATAGAAGAAACGTTATCACTCAGGGTTAAAGTAGGCCAAGTATGGTGGCCCTTACATATAGTGCCAGTATTTTGGAGGCTGAGACAGAGGATCAAGAGTTCAAGGTCATCCTCGGCTACAAAGCAAATTCAAAGCCAGTTTGGGTTACAGAAGTCTATGTTTCAAAAGGAAACAAACCCATACCAGATGACCTGCAGGTCACACCCTGTCTGCACTGTGTGCTTCATACAATGCTGTTTTCCAAGAATCAGAAAAGTCACAGACATGAGCCACACCTGGAGTTGGCAGCTGCTGCACTCCCTGTTTCCCCTACATGGCCCCACCACATACCCACGGAGATTTCTTGACATTTGCTGTTGCAGAAAGACAGCGGACGGAGGCGGCTGGGAACGTTTGAAAACCTGTGACAAATAATTGCACACAAAATTGCTGCACAGAGCAGCTACTGGCTGCCCACAGATAAGGAGGCATTCTCTATGCAGCTTCAGACCTCTGGGCGGCATGAACAGAAGCCTCTTCACACAGGCAGCGCCTGATCTGGTTTATCAGTCACTCAGATACATTCTCCCCCTTCATCGGGGCATCTTTTCATTTTGCTCTCTGTTCAAAACACTGGGGCACAAAGGATGTTCTTCATCTTGCACCACTGAAACGAAATCTTGAGGTAGGGCAAAAAAAGGAAAAAGAAAAACCTTGCCCTAAATTCCCTTTCAAAAGTGAAGCGTGGAAGACTTCAAGCAGAGCACACAGCACTATTGTTGTGGAAAAGGCCAAGGCCAAGGCTGGCAGCCAGTGTGGCTCTGCTGCAGCCTCAAGAGAGAATAATAATAATAATAAAAACACCCAGGGAGAAAGGCTCCTCTGGGAAATGAGATTTCTCTTTGTCCTTCCCCTCCTTATTGTCATTAATATCCATGGGCCCAGCTGTTTCCTTTCTCCAGCTAATCCTAAATCAATGCTATCATATTGACCCTTTGTCACTGCAAAGGGTCTCCTGGGCCTACAAAACATCTCCTTATACCAACTCTGAGCCCCAGAAATTTCAAATGTATTTTTAATTGAGCAGCAAAACAGAGAGCCTGATTATCTGACTTAGTTTGGTACGGATCTTAAAATAAAAATTTAAATTTTAAAAGGTTTGAAATCTTGGATTTAGTGAATCTACTTGGACATTTGAATAGCTTTTAATTTAAAGTTATAAGGTAAGGTACAAAAGATAATCAAAATCAAATGTTTAAGGAATGGAATGTATGATATTTCTTTATATATAAATTACTACAATTTTTTTCATAACTAACTCTACAGTTACACACTAAGGTCATGAAGTAAATTTCTTTAGTGTGTACAGTCTCAAGATAAAATGTATTATTTATGACTTAAATTGAACTGGGTTTTTTCAGACCATAAAGATACACTATCAATATGAATTGCAGTGGCATTTCCAGGGAGGAATCTTGTACTCCTGATGAATTTTACTCAAAGTCTTATTAATCCAGGCCACAAAATGACTCAGACCCAGAGAAAACCAATCAAGGCCACAGAAATATTCAGAGCTATTTGTAAACCATTCGGTTTTTCTACCAATAAGTGAAAAAATGCCTTTCTAAAGGAAATCTGTACAATAAACAAATTTATAAGTTAATGCAGACCCAAAGCAGTTTATCCTGTATGGCAATTCTTTACAAATGCGGGGGTCACCTCATAATTTAAAACATGATGTTATCTGTCCCCATACCCAGGTGAGACACAGGATGCCCTCTTCATGACTGACATTTGACTGACTATAGCTATACAGACAGACATTACTAGACAATGTTTGTTTCCAAATCATTCTTCTTCATTTCTTTCCTGTAATTTTCCATTACATAACCCTGACATACCTAAAAGTTAAACTCTCTTTGCAACATCTCTACTGGGCTAAAGGGGAGGCATCATCAACATAAGCTAACACCTTTCACCAACAATAATGATGGTCTAGGTCAAAGCCTTCACGAACACACTGATGTATGTGCCTCGCTTCTGTGTATTCTGAGTCATCCTTTTTCTTTTAAATCTAGAATACCTTGCCACACTGAACTGATATTAGTCTCTTCTCTGCTGAGAAAATTCCAAAATATTTAATGGCTATCTTTCTCACATCTTATCTCCTCATCTTAGAGCAGATACAAACATCCATAGCATGTGAAATGTCAAGTTCCCACTGTCACCACACGTTTCCTGGGTTTAGCAGAGAAATACTATTATCCAAGGCTCAGAGACAAAGGCTCTTCCAAATGTTTGGAAGGTAGTTTATGTACTTATTCTCCAAAGGATGCTTGGCCTACTTTAATGGCAATATTTGGTATTATGTGATTTTGTAAATTGATTTTTATAGAGCCCTAGACAAACAGAGCCAAAGCTTTTCTTTTTTCCATTAGAAGTCTGCATTCTTGACTTTGCTCCATTTCACTAAGGGAGTAATTTGGTTCCAATATTTCTTCATTTTAGAATTACACTGTAGGGGGGCTTCTGCAGTAAGCTTGGATATTTAATCCCAGAGTACTAGCCACTATGGAAACACTCACTAGTTCAATATATTATATGCTTCCTTCCCAGGAATTAAAAATCTCATTGTGTGGTCTGGAAATTGAATTGTCAAAATTCAATCAGAAGAAAAAAATACCAAGAAACAGCCATCTGGGAAGGTATTTTCACTGAGATGTATGTCTACTGCAGTTCCTTCAATATCCTCCATGCAAAATTGATTTTAACCCTGAAGACAGTTAAATACATAAACTAGTGAACTTCAGTCTCAGCAAAGAAAGGACTGAAGTTTTTACCCTTCACAGAGGTGGCAACACTTGAGTTCTCCCTTAGTGGAGCACAAATACTCAGTTTGCATTGATAGCACTCAGCTCTGGCTGCAAAAAAACACTGCCATTTTTGCTCCTGTATTTTATCAAGTAGGTGACCAGGAGAAAGACGGCAGGCCCCTTTCTTTGACCTTGACTTGTTCAAGTTACAACTGCAAGGTTTCAGTTTACTACCACTTCTTTAAAACCATCTGAAAAATAGCAGCACACAGTAACCGTAGGCGGATACACTAGGAAAAAAGGCAGTTGTAATACCCCATTTGCTAAAATCTTGGAAGAGATACATACCCAGGCCTTCAGATTCAAAAAGACATGTTTCGTCCACCCCCAAGTCTCGGCACCAGGATAAGAAATTGGCTGTATTGTCTCGGGCAAAAAAGGAGCCTGAGGGTGCGCTGGCTTTGCAGGGAATCTTCTTCAGTGGCAGAGTCTGCAAAGTAAAGAAATCTCAGTCTCGTGGGATGCTGGGCAAAGTCAAATCAGAGAAACAGTAAAAATGCACTTATGCTTTCAACAGAGTGCTTTGGAATCGATCTTGCGCTGATGACTACGTTTGTGAGACACATAGAAAAAGACTGTACGAAAACTCAGGAGATGGGAAGTCTGCCGTGGACACACACCTTCCTCTCTGGAACACTCACTGTAAATGGGCAGGAGCCCTTCCCCTAATGCAGACTGGCTTTTCTTTTGTCTCCGAGATCACTTTTGGTTTTTGTCTCATCCAAATAATCTATCAGTCTTCCTCACAAAGTATACAATGTACTTTATACATCAACATTACAGACTAGATCCTTTCATGCATGCAGACACAGCACCCGGTTCACAGAACATGGAAAGTGTGTATGAGTGGAAACCAAACCAAACTTCAGCAGAAGAGTCCTCTACCACACACCCCTCCACGTGGGTACCGGGAAGATACATTCAACTTCCTTGAAAATGTGGTACATTTACACAATGGAGTACTATTCAGCAGAAAAAAACAATGGAATCCTGAGATTTGCAGGCAAATGGATGACACTAGAAGAAACCATCCTGAGTGAAGTGACACAGTCACAAAAAGAGAAACATGGCATGTACTCTCTCATATATGGATTTTAGACATAGGTCTTGGGACTGCCAGCCTACAATCCCATGGCCAGAGAGTCTGGGAACAGAACCTTCATTCAGTGGCTGATCAAAGAAGAGGCAGACTCCCTCGGTTAAGTACTGAGCTGAACTCAAGAAAGCCAGTAACAGAGAGGGAGGACTGATGACCAAAGGGATTAAGACTGGGCTGGTTTAACCCCAGAAACAGCTGACCTGACAAGGGTTAGCTCTTGAATCTCAGACTGATGGCTGGGAATCAATCATGGGACTGACTGATCAAGACCCCCTGAATGTGGGTGTCAGTGAGGAGGCCTAGGTAATCTACTGAGCCTTGGGCAGTAGATCAGTACTCATCCCGAGTATACTCATGGACTTTGGACTCTCATCCAACAATGTGAGATGCACTCTCACCCTGAACTCTTGGTCTAGGCCCTGCCCTGTATGAAATGGCAGACTATGGACACCCACAATGAGGGCCTCACCCTCCCTGGGGAAATGAGGGGATATTGGGGGAGTTAGGGGAGGGCACAGGAGGAGGGGAGGGAAAGGGAGAGAGACCTGGAACTGACTTGTGAAGCAACCTTGTTTCTAATCTAAATTTAAACTTAAAAATAAAAAATTTAATAATAAAAAAAGAAAATAGAAGAGAAACAGTAGAAGGGGAGCAAAATGGACAGGGAGGAGTAGGGCAGGAGGAAAGGGAGGTCTGAGATGTACTACTTGCTGTGCATTATACCCATCATGAAAAGGGCTTATGTAAACCAGGGTATAAAAAAAAGATAACAAATGTAGCAGTCCTTCCAGGCTCCTTTCTGTTAGCCAAATAATGTAGCTTGACCCTACGGAAATAATCCATGGCTGAACTCCCTGCTTTTACCTTCAGAGGTATTAGTTACATTCTATGTCACATCCCTTTTGACGTAAAAGGAAATGCTTAGGAGAGGAGTGTTTGGGAACCGAAAAGACAATCCTGCTAACATTTTCCCCAGAAATCTTAGCCAGGAACTGCTGCTTGGCACTTAAGGGAGTGCTGTAGGCTTTTACTTTTACAGAGCAGAATTAGTTTCCAAAGACCACACAAAGCCAAGGAATTCACGTGATGTTAGAGCCCAAGGCAAACATTTGGTAGATGTGAGCTACTTGGGACCTTGCTGAAAGAGCAAAAGGATCCAGGGAGAATATTTTATCATTTAGACGCAGAGACAGGCGTGTCCTCTACTCACAGAATAGGCAATGTGCTGTGGTTGCTTAGTTCATTTGCAGGGCACTACAACAACATGAAATAGGGGTCTGACCGACTCGATGAAATTCACACAGTTCTTCACATCAAGAGGTTCTACAGCTATGTGATAAAAAAAAATGTCTGTTGCTATAGCCTGGAAGGGCCTGCTACCTGAGAGGCCCATCTTTCCACAGAATACGCACCGTTGACATTTTTATATGAATATGCAAGCATGCATATGTTTTATGCACTGTTGTTATATCAAATTACATATACATATATTATATGTAGGGCTGCCTAAATGGTAACCACTCTACTTGCTTTCATTAGTGTATGTTGATTGTACAAAATATTGAGTTTCACTGTGACATCCTCATGCATGCATACAACATACTCGACCATAATCAGATTGGGCATTGCCCTGTTCCCCTCTTCCCTGAGTTTGCTTTCTCATCCCTGACATCTCTTCTACTTTCACATCTTCCTTACAATCTGGGCGCCACACGTGCAGTAAGTGTCTTCCTGAGACTGGCTCATTCTGCTTCATATGGCGATCTCCAATTCCACCCATTTCCTTGCAAATGGTGTAATCCATTCTTCTCTATGCCTAATTCTTCATTGTGTAGCATTCATCACATGTTCTTTAGCTATTCCCTTTTGATGTTGGTGGACACCTGAGCTGGATCCCTAGCTTGGCTATTATGAATGATAATACAGTGAGTTACAATGTATGGCCATTTGTGTGCTACACTGACTGACTCCTTCCAGAACATACCCAGGCCTATTGTAGCTGTCTCGTGTAATTGTTCTATTTTTAGTTTTATGGGGCACTTTCTTACTGTTTTCCATGGTAACTGAACTGATTTAGATTTAGCACCAAGAAGATGTGCTGGTTCTTTGTCCCTCCGTCACAACCTTACCAGCATTTGCTGCCTTTTGCTACACAGTAATATTGTGTTAACTCATCTAGTTCAGGTATCAGCAACTGTTTTCAAAGAAATGCCTCCACATCAGTCTCAATTAGTGTTTTAAGCATAAAGTCAGAATATGAATCTTTGAATCTAGCAACTTAGTTCAAAGAATATATATTATTCAACATCGACAAAGTAGGAAAAACAGAAATAATATGTCAGGAGAGAGCTGGTGGAGTAACAGTATAGAAATGCAATAGAATTCATATGATAATTTACAAGGAATAAAACATGCATGTACAGAACATACTCTTATTATATATTATCAGAACATACTCTTAGGTAGAAAGTAATTTACATGTTTTACTATGACTTTGTTCTATGATGTGTGTAGTTATGCACAGATGTTGAATTCCATATAAAACATTACAACTTACATATTTATAAAGTAAAAAATTTATAAATATGTCAAGAAGAATATGCATTCAATTGGAGAATAATTACATTTGAATAAGGGGTTGGGTGATTAAGATTTTGAATGTGGTTAGTTTGGCTAGGAAATCAGTTCATTTTTAAATTTTGATAAACAGAGTATAATAGGCTCATGTGAGCAATGACCATTATATCAATGAGAAAGCAAAACCTTTATCTGATGTTTCATAAAATGTATTTGATTACTGCCTACTTTCCCTCAAAAGAGAAATAATCTTTCCATGCCTCCTAACCCTTTTCAAACAGAGTATTTCCCACGTATGATAAAGACAGTCAATTGTACAGGTCAAAGATTTTACTTGAAGGATGAGCATGCAATATAAAAGTGGAACTGTTACAGTGTCAGGGTACTTAAGTTTCAAAGGGGTGGTAGTGATTATGACATTGCATGTATAGCCTACACATGGGGGCAGGGTCTTGTCCAACAGCACACTGCTTTTCTGATGCCCACAGTGGTCATGCACAGGAGGAACCGGCTTCACTAATTACACACAGCATTAAAGAAGGGGTAACCTAGAGTCTGTAGTGTCTATCGCAGTGGAGGTACACAATACATGTTTACATATGTGTCTCTCTACTAATATGTCAAAGCATAACACCTCAAGATAAGTAGTTAATAGTACAGCATCTCCATCTTCTGGATGAAGAAGTGTAGCTTGTAACAATTCAAACTAAATCACCAAGTTTCAACACCACAAGCTTCAACTATTCCATGATAACTCAAATTTGCTTTGAATCCAGTGTATTTTAGCAGGTGATATTTCCCCAATTTGGGCCAAGTAAGGTTAAGAAGAATTAGGGATTATCCATCACGGTTTCCACTTATTAAAAAGTAAAGTAAATCAAAAGAACTAAGAAAATGCTATCTTTAATTTCCTTTACATTGTTAACTGAAATTTTAATTCTGGCAGTTTAAATAAGGTTTTTATTCACAAAAGCTCAAGGGAGACTCATATTTTTAATTACATCAAGTAGACATTTGAGATATAAAGCAGGAGATGATGTGGTACTGGCCAAGAAGTAATAATGTTTCTTTTCCAAAAGGTATGTGGAGTGTGCTTTTCAAATATATAGGCAATGAAGTCACTTTTTCCACAGTGGAAATAACGTTTCCATTTGAATCCCTGTTGCTCTCTAATTCCCCATATACTTTATTGAAAAGTAATCTCTCTCAGTAAAAATTTTTGCTGACATTTAAGAGTAGCAAAGTGTGTAAATTCAAATACCATGTCACTTTAGAAAGGATAAAAATGAGGGCTGGCAAGGTAGTCCAGTTGGTAAAGACACTGGCCGTTTATCGTGGTGATCCCCAAGTGCCACACGATGGAAAAGGAGAACCAACTCTGAACGTTTGTCTCTGGCCTTCACACATGTGCAGTGGCACGTGCCTACCCACACTTAAACACATACAATAAACAGATACATGAAACAGTCTGGAGAGATGGCTCAGAGGTTAAGAGCACTATTACTCATGCAGGGGAACCAGGTTTGGTTCCTAGCACCCACATCAGACAGCTCACAGCCTCCTGCAACTCCAGTTCCAGAGGCTCTAGTGCCTTCTCCTGGCCTTCATGGACACTGTATGCATTTTGGTGCACATAAACTCACACAGGCACATAGATATAAATAATAAATAACCTTAAAAACAACACCATTTTTAAAAGGTGAAATATGCTCTTTAAGATAAAAAATTAAAGAGAAAAATTAATCATTTTTGTC